GGTTGAAGGATAAAAATTGATAGGTGTATGGCCAGCCTTACCCTTGGACAAGAAGTCTGTTAATGGCAGAAACACCAGGTCAACAGAAAGGCCAGAAAAAAAACTAATGTAGCCTCCACATCTAAGGACTGGTAAAATTCAATATATTAGACTATTGTTTTGGGGGGGTTTGGATGACGTGATGTGAAGTGAGCATAAGCATTCAATCATGTGAAGTAGATACAAAATACAGATTCTCTTGAGCATGATTTAATATTTAGGTGAACACGTACTCTGTTCACTACACTTTACCTCCCATTATACTTTCCTAAATAAGCTCCTTTGTAAACATATTTATAAAAGACTAATAAAGTTCATTTTTTTTTTCATTTTTGATCAAACCCAGTGCAGCCAGATCCAGCAGGTTTCTCACAGTGCTTTTGGACAGGGCTGCAGCCCATTATCTTATGGTTCTGTACAACATCCCCTTTGTGCTCCAGCTTGTCAGGGGACTACAGTGGACTCAAACATACAAGAGTGTAGAAACGGTAAATATACTAACAAGCATTTCTACAAGCTGGGATTCAGTGCACTTCAGGAGCTGAGGATCCCAGCAATCATAGTGATTTAGCTAACAGGGCAATTAGCTGCCCAAGAGGAATGCCAGCATGAAAATTAGATCCACTGAGCAGGTAGAGTGTGTCATCTAGGCCAGTCTACATACAAAATGTTCATGTTAAACTGGAGTGTATCTTTCATTAGAGGTGTCACATCTCTTATAACATAATGCACTTTCTTAACTTGCATTATGCTAATGCTTATTGATTAATGGTTAATAGATAACTCAAACGTGAGCATGCTTTTGAATGGCAGCAGCAGACAATTATCAAGAAATAAAATGACTTTACAAAAATGAGATAATGAAAAAATGTGTTCTAATTTTCACTTGTATTTGTAGTTGGTTTTGTACTTGTTGGTCTTGCGTTCATTTGTGACGTGAAGGTAATGCAATGCTAAAATCTAGATTTCATTAACTTCAAACTAATTGTGCCTCCATAGCTAAACAAGTAGAAGCAGCTGTATCAGTACCTCACTGGAGTCCTGTAACTTTACATTCCAGAGAAATGACTGTTAATGGGAGTAGAGACAGGAAACTGCTGCAAAATCCTCATCTTTCTCAGCTCCAGACGTTGGGCTGTACTGATCAAAATCAAATCACATATCAATCTAGAGTATCTAAAACAAGCACCTGCCCTCCATGATAATAGCTGTTAGGTCACAAGCATTAAAGCATGTGTGACTGATGATTTTAATATCAATGGTACATCGTACATTGCTATCAATAACTATTGACTCTTAACAATAATGACATCTTTCACATTCCTAAAATTATACATATATTGTTCTGGGGAGTTATAAAATCACATGTTTCAAATCATCTATATTTAAAATACCCATGTTTCTATTATCTGGCATGCTTATTGAATTTGTGAAATCTGTGCTATTGTCTGCTGGTACTTAAAACATATAATGTACAATTTTAAATAGCCTTTCAATTTTATATTTAGATTAAAATCAATCTATTCTTATTTGTAGTGGTAACAGTGGCAACAAGAGCAGTATACGGCAGGATGTTCTTTACAGTCTAGGAGAAATACAAAATTAACATACAAGGGTTAACAAACAATCTAGGAAAGAAAGGGGATGCTGTCTAATGGAAATGGGGAAGATTAGGCAGAAGATCTATACATTTATAGTAAACACTTCAAATTTTAAATAGAAGGCCAGCTAAATACACTAAAAAATGACAATGTCCAAAAATCATCTCTACATTTTAAAAGTCTACAAGTATTTAGGAAACCCCAGAAAGCAAGCTTTAATTTGTACTTATACTGATATACCTAATATGACAATGTAATCACAATTTGAAATATGATTGTTACCTTTTCCATTCTAAAATGCTTTGTTTTTACATTATGTATAAGCAAACAGAAATGTTATTTGAGGTTCCTATTTTGGACTGTTTTTTTTTTTTCTTCAATCATTTTACTTAGTAAACTGGTGTTTTCTTGGTATACATTAATGAAGGACTGGCAGCTGTGAATTGTCCAACAGCATCAGAAAGAGTTACAGCTCTAACAAAAAAGGAAACATTGAAGTGTGGAAAGTAGTCATTAAATGCCTAAAATCATCGAAATAGACAACAAAACAGAAATAATTGTACTAATCCTTTTCACCCCTTTATTTTACTTCCAGTTTAAAGATTCACCTTCAGTCACCCCATATTACTTATGATTTAATTATATGTATTTGTTTGACCTCTGATCAATTATGTGCTGTCAGAAATAATGGAGGAGGATTAAATCTGGGGCTTCTATGCTGTGTATTGATCAAGTAGAAATAAATCTAAACTAGGGAGGTGATGGGTTCCTATTGTCTAGAATAGTGGAAGGACCCCAAGGGCTGCAGACTCTACAGGGGCAAGGAGTTGGGTGGAGTGGGGACTAGATTGAAAGACAAAGAGTGACTATGTTGTAATCAATTCCAAGGAGGAAAAACACCTTGGAGGAGTAACAGACCCTAACAAGATGCACATTTACATAAGCAAGCATGCATATGGATAGGGCTGCAGATTTCGTCTGTATATTAGTATGTAAATTTGTGCTTACAGTGATACTGGAAGAATTAAGGTAAATGTATATAAATACACACAGAGGAAAGAGGAGGCATGCAAAGTCTGAAGGATTATTAATATATATCTATATCTATATATATCTATATCTATCTAGATATAGATATATAACCAGAAGATGCACCCTTCTTCTAGATGAAACTTGTTTGTCAATGCTGATGACTTGTGTTACTCGTGTCCCATTTGCAATGAAATAGTTCATTCCTCATGCAGCATTTAACCCTATGCAATGTTTAAAATGCACTATCTAGTTAAAGCCCACCACCAACACACACAAACACAACTTATAGGTTTCCCTTAGATCGTGATTTCCCTTAGAAGTGTTTCTGTTTAAAAAAAAAAAAACAGAGAAAAGAAAGACTCTCCAAATGTGCAGCTTAAAATGAATTTGACATCGATGTAGGCAGGTAGAACAACACTAAATTATTAAAATGTGCTAATAGTGAAATTGACACACACTATTACATGGAATTGATATATTCTCATCAACAAGGGAGCGGACCAGTTCTTACCCACAGTAGAGACATTATACATACCTAGGAATGTTCTATTCAGTCACCCTCCATCTACATGCTTTATGTGTTACCACTCATGTGTATGACATGGCACTGTTCTGATACATCATGCTACACATTGTGCTATACTTGTATTACATTGTGCATTCTACAGGGAAAAGAAGACACACACACACCCACACACATATACGGAGACCGGCAAAGCCTACACCACCTCGTCTCTAGCAGCTATATATCAATCTCTGCCAAGGCATGTGTTTAAATATTCAGTGAAAAATAATGACTTGTTCGGTATCACTTATAGGAAGATTATTATGTCCATCCTTCAAACTCAGCCCCCAACTGAGCTTCATGTGCAGTCAGAATCCACCCTAAAATAGCAAAAAAAATTTGAAAAACTGTGTTGGAGTAAATGAAATTTTTTTTTTTCAATAATGAATTTAAAAGTTCAAAAATATGTAAGTGAAACATCGGAATTGTATTCAAAACATCATATTAGAAGTCACACAACAGAGGAAAAAATAAGCAAAGTAAACAAAAATGTTTTGTTTTATTTTTGCTGTTTTTAACAGACATGTCATTTTATTTTGCATTGACAGAGCAGAACAATGAGTGCAGTTAGAGTCTGAATTAAAAGAACATAAATAAAACGTAGGATTAAGACACTACAGCTGGTCGCCACAATCAGTCAGCCGTCATCGTTAGGGTGTTAAGGTCAAGTCTGGGAATCATGGGGCAGTTCAGATGGATGGAGTTCCTGGATTTTGTAGGGATGGTGTTGCTGATGCTATAAGAGAGGAAAGTAGGTGATGGGGAGGATGCAGCTCTTCAAGGTGAGCAGATCAGCTTTTTTTTTTTAAGGTGAATAACCCTGATCCAGGACCTGCCAGCCATCCCAACATCCCTTCTACTCTGCTGTAACAAGGAAACATTAATCCCCCTTCTCCCCCAGCTCTCATCAGCACAGCAGAGCCCCCTTGAGTGACAGCAGCAGCGCCCATTCACAGTTCAGGGGCAGACCTGCAGCACAACTTTCCTAATCCTTGGCCACTGACTTCAGAGTTTTTTAACAGATTTATTTATTAGCGGCATAGCAAATGAAACAGCTCAGAGTTACAATATGAAGAAGTAAATCCCACATTTCCATGTAAAGAATGGTCATTGTTTTAGCTGCAGCCCAGCATTGATAGGTACACAAGGATTTTGCTATGCAATACTGCCCTGGCTGCTGTCCCAAAAGCTGATTCAACAGTAATACTTCGGCTGCCATTGTGAACACTCATTTTCTGTCGTGCACTTTTTAATTCTTAAAAGCCACCAATCGATAGTTCGAAAAGTGAAAAGAAAGTCATATTCACTTTGAGAAATCATCGTGCCATGTAGGAGGATGGGAGGGTGCCGGATGATGAACTGTAGGCGGCTGGGGATCGTACACAAGTTCGGAGTGACAGCAGGTCACTGTACTGCGGGCTGCTCTGTGTTGCAGCTACAGGGGACAGGCGAGTGAAAAAGATTCGGGCGATCTAATACTGGCAACTTCTTGTGAAAGGCGACCCTGTGCCATTAAAGGTGCTTAGGTAGAGGGGAGGGAGGGCTGATAGGTGAGTGGAGCTACATAAGGGAACCGACTAGACCTCGGAGCTTGCAATTAGCACGATCCGGATGTGTATTGAGGAAGGTCAGAGACCAGACCTCGTCCAGAAGAAATTCTTGTTGCTAAGAGGGTTAACAGTGTATCCAAACCCAAGTCCCTGCCTCCTCCCTCCCTCCCTATAAGCCGGCCCCCTTATTATTGGGTGGCAGCTGAGAGAGACAGGAGCCTCCAGCGAATCACAGGCTCATTGATTAGGGCGAGTAGGTTTGAATAGAGCTGGCCATGTGCCAGCCCCCCCTCCTCCCATTACTAACCCCTCTCCTATGATTAATCGCAATGCATTATTGATCATCATAATTATGGCAGGACACATGCGCGCTGGCTGGGGCTCCCTGCCCGGAATTGGGAGCACATTTTGGGAGTAAATTATTTGTCTTCTGCCCCAGCTGATGTGTGAGCCAGCATGTCTCGGAGGAAGCAGGCGAAGCCCCAGCATTTCCAATCGGACCCCGGTCTGGCCCTGCCTGGAAGTCATGGTAAGTAGCAGCACCTCTCCTCCATGTAAGATGATTGTCTATATCTGCCGTTGACACCCAGCCCGGAGATCGTCCCCGGATCGCTGCCCAACATCACTGCCAGCTGCGATCTTCGCAACACACTGCGCTCTCTGCCTGGGATGTTCTCCTGTAGATCCCACCGACCTTGCCCGGGTCCCCCGGAGCTGCCTGGACTCCGCTCACTTATCCCACCTGAAAGTCCACACAAACTTTCACACGAGTGGGCTCCACGCTGCTGACACCCTGTGCTTTCACTTTGTCACACTCCTACTTTGTTCGCAGGACGATCTCCCCTCCCGAGCTGGTGTATGTGCTACATTGTTACCTTGTACATGTTCGGGAAACAAATGTACAATTATGTTGCTCTCAGGCTACCAATAATTCGAGGTATCGTTAAAGGGGCGCATTGTTACCTGGTAGATGGTAGCGATACAACTGTGCACTTGTGTTACTCTCAGGCTACCAGTAATTCTACATAATGTGTATGAACTACTTTCTTACTTTGTACATGTTGGAGATGAACATGTACAATTAGGTTGCTTTCAGGATTATATATATATAATAAGGCTGTTTGTAAACGTGGTTTTATTATTAGTCTGCTTATTGGATGGCGTAAGAAGGACTTTATTTCGTGTTTGTTCCAGAGCCTCAGCGTTCATGCGGGTTCCCAGTAGGGCAGATGGGACCTTGTATCCAGTTTTCATGTCCTGATCTCTCTGCTACTGTCCTCCAGTTCTTTCCTCCTTTTT